AGCAACCTCCAACTCCTGGGCTCAAGTGAGTCTCCTGTCTCAGCCTCCCAAGTAGCTGGGACCACAGGCACCCACCACAACGCCCGGCTATTTTTTGGTTGCAGCCATCATTGTTGTTTGGCGGGCCCAGGCTGGATTTGAACCCTCCACCTAGGTGTATGTGGCTGGTGCCTTAGCCACTTGAGCCACAGATGCCGAGCCTAAAATGCTTTTTTTCTTATTTTTAACAGGCTAAATTATTTCAAAAAGTCTGTTTTCAAGTTCTGGGATTGTTTTCCTGCTTATCTATTCTATTCTTAATCTATTTTTAAAATTTTTGAATGTATTTTATATTTCCTTAATGAATTTTTCAGCTCCAGAATTTCCTTTCCTTTCATTTCATTTCTTTCTCTCTTTCTTTCTTTAAAATGAAATCTATCTCCTTGGTAAATTTAATTCACATCCTGAAATGATTTTCTGATTTTTTTTGCAGCTTTTTTTTTTTTTTTTTTTTGGCCAGGGCTGGGTTTGAACCTACCACCTCCTGTATATGAGGCCAGCACCCTACTCCTTTGAGCCACAGGTACTGCCTGATTTTTTGATTTTTTGTATTGGTTTTTAGATTTCTTTTGCATCTCCTTGAGCAATTGTAGAATCAATATTTGCAATTCTTTTTTTTTTCTTTTTTTGTGACAAAGTCTCATTATGTTGCCCTTGGTAGAGTGCTGTGGCGTCAAGCTCACAGCAATATCAAACTCTTGGGCTTAAGTGAGTCTCTTGCCTCAGCCTCCCAAGTAGCTGGGACTACAGGTGCCTGCCACAATGCCCAGCTATTTTTTTGTTGCAGTTGTTTAGCTGGCCCATGCCAGGTTCAAACCTGCCACCCTTGGTGTATGTGGCTGGTGCCGTAACCACTGTGCTAGGGGTGCTGAGCCAATATTTGGAATTCTTTATCTGACATTATGAGGAATTCTTTTTGATTGGGATCCATTGCTGGACAATTATTGTGGTCCTTTGATGGAGTTATATTTTCTTGCTTTTTTATGTTTCCTATGTCCTTCCTTTGATGTCTGTTCATGCAGTTGCTTGTTATAATTTTTTGAAATTGTGTTTAAAGGAGAGAATGTTTTTCTTGAAGATGTATAACATGTTGATGGCTGAATAGGACACTTTAGGTTTGATTTTGAATGCTTGCAGTAGTGTGATTTTTGTATGATTTCTTAAGTGGTATCTGTGTTTTCTTAGTGTCTTAGGGAATGGTTACTATTTGAAATTCTGGTGAAATTTTATAGGAGGCTTGAATGGCAGCCAAGCCAGTCTTTGGGCTCCAGTTGGGGAAGCAGTGGGCCATGTATGTCTGATTTTAGGCCTGAGAGCAGCTAATACTGGCAGTGGTGTGTGTCCTGGGGGATCAATTCTTGGACCTTCAGAAAGCTTGCTGAGAAACTAGTGGTTGAAGCAGAGGCCAGTTGTGAGAGCAGGTTCCAAGATTCCTGAGCAGCTGGTATGGTATAGGTGGCAGGAGTGGAAGTAGAACAATCCACTAGGACCCGAGAGATCTGTGTTAGTTACTAATAGCTACAATGGATTTGGCAGGCTAGTCTCCAGGCCCATAGCTACCCTTCAACAGCGTGTTAGTTATTGTCTTAAGTGTGCTTGGAGAGCTTGGTCTTCCTTGTCCCTTTTAGCACATCTCTGTGCAAATTCCAAGCACCTCCCTGTGTCAGGCCTGAGACTTGTGTGGGTTGGGGATTCTCTTGTAGCTGAGATCATAAGAATTTGTGTCAGTAAGTAAAGCCTCGTGTGCTTCTCTCTTATTGTTAGTCCCTGAGTCCAGGAGGTTCTCCAGCTGTTAGTCAGTCCCTGTCTGGGTAAGTTGCCTCTAAACCTCTCCTTGCCCATTTATGGTGCTTTCCATCACCTCCCCAGCAAATCCTAGCATTCTCGCCTAGATGATCTGTTTGAAATATGAGAATCTGTTTACTATTCTGGTTTCTCTCCATGGAGGAGACATATCCTACCTGTGCTTAGTTGGCCATCTTGCTTCCCTCTATCAATTGCTATAATCTCTTTGAATTTTGAATTTTAGCTATATAGACATGGGAATGTAGACTTGCATTTGTACTCTTGCCCTGAGTCCTCCAGACATGAGGGTGGAACTAAACATCTCCATCCCACTAAATTACACAAGAACTGGTTCTTACCTGTCTTGCTCTCAGCTACAGTCTCTAAACCTAGAAGAGTGTCCGCAAATAGTAGGTGTGTGGTAGGTATTTATTAGAATGAAAAATTAAATCATTCTCCCTATGTCTTTTCTCTTAGAAAGAACTTTATCTCTTGAACTTTCTTTTCTTGGAGATAAATATTGCTACTCCTGTTTTGTTTTTGTTAACATTTGCCTTATATGTCTTTTCTATCCCTTTATTTTCAGTCCCAAAACATGTAATTTTAGGCTCCTTTATTATGAACATTTGGCTACAGTTTTAAAAAAAGTAATTAGTTTCTGTCTTTCAATAAACTGTTTAACCCTTTCACATTTACTGTGATTACTTCTAGGTTGAATTAATTGTGGCATTCTTAATTTTTATTTCTCTTTTCTTTCTCTCCTCTTTCCTGACCTCTGCCTTAAACCCTATTTATGACTTTGAGGGGAGATTGAATTTTCTACATTCCATTCTCCTGTCCTTTTTGGTTTAAAAGGGAACTATTTTCTGTTTTCTAGTGATTAATTTAATTTTCTTTTTTGAGTCAGAATCTCTCTATGTCACTCTCAGTAGAGTGCTGTGGTGTCATAGCTCACAGCAACCTCAAACTCTTGGGCTCAAGCAATTCTCTTGTCTCAGCCTCCCAAGAAGCTGGGACTACAGGCACCAGCCATAATATCCGGCTATTTTTCTGTTGCAGTTGTCATTGTTGCTTAGCTGGCCTGGGCTGGGTTCGAACCCACCAGCCTTGGTGTATGTGGCTGACGCAGTAACCACTGTGCTACAGGCACTGAGCCTAATTTAAAATTTTTTTAACCACATATATAAACATATTTTTGTATGAACATCTAGAATTAATTTATATCTACATCCTTTACTTAGCCATATTAGAAGTTTAGCTTACTTTTACTTCTTTCCTCTCTTCTAAATTTTCTTGCACCATCCTAATCATCCTCCTTTACTCAGCCACCATCTTTTGGAATTGTCACTACTTTTTTGTTTGTTTATAATCAGCATTTATTTAGATTTAACAATAAAAAATTTTAGTTCTTTATAGATATGTAAATATGTGTTTTATTTTTCTTGAATTAGGTTTTTTTTTAATTTGTTTTAAGTCAGGGCTGGTTTTACTGTATTCTGTCAGAGAGTAAAGCATATGTAGGAAATTTCTTAAATTTTTGCATATCTAAAATCATTTTATTTCTTAGTGATACTTTGAATAGATATAGAATTTCAAAATCATAATAATTTTATCACAGAAAGTTGAAAATACAGCTTTAGTTCAGTTTTGCTTCTTTTTATTGCCATTGAAAAAACTAATGAAAATCTGATGTTTATTTCTTTGTAGGCAATTTCTACTTCCAGACATTGAACTTCATCTCGATGTGTCTAGATGTTTGTCTATTTTCATTCATCCTACTAGACATTTGTTGAACCCATTTGTTCTGAGTATTTTATCTTTTCTGGAAATTGTTATTTTCTGTAATTCCTATGAGTATTTTTCTTTATCCTCTCCTTTTGGGATTCCAGATGTTGGGACTTTTCAACCTTTTTTCACATTTGCCATTTTTGGGGCCTTTCTGAGCAGTGTTCTGGGAGAATTCTTCAGTTGCATCATCTAAATAAATAATCATTCTTTAGCTGATTTTGCTTAGCTGGCCTGGGCTGAATTTGAACCTACCAGCCTTGGTGTATGTGGCTGACGCTGTAACCACTGTGCTATGGGCACTGAGCCTAATTTAAGCAAAATCAAACCTTTTCTATTATTCAGAGCATTTATTGAGGTTTTCTTTCTTTCTCTCTTTTTTTTAACCCCCTAGTTCTTGGACTTAATAACTAAGTTAAAAGGAGCCATTGCTCTCTCTTATTCTTCTGAAGATTTAGCTGTATCTACCATACTGACTTCTTTTATTATTTATTTATTTATTTTAGGATAGAGTCTTGCTTTGTTGCCTGGGTTACAAAGCAATAGTGTCATGATAGCTCACTGCAACTTCAAACTCCTGGGCTCCAGTGATTCTCCTGCCTCAGTCTTTTGAGTAGTTGAGACTGCAGGTGCATACCCCCATGCCCAGCTATTTCCTTCAGAGACAGGGTCTTGCTATGTTATTCAGGCTGGTTGCAGACTCCTAGTCTCAAGCAGCCCTCCTACCTTAGCCTTCCACAGTACTGAGATTACAGGTGTGAACCACTGTACCTGGTCCATATTGACTTCTTTTAAAGTCTCATTACTTTTTTTTCTATTACCTTTGATTCTTTGAATGATAGTTTATGTAATGAGCATGTGCCTTCATTCACAGAATTACTTTGCGTTTAAAAAAGAGGGGGATTGTTTGCATGCTTATCTGGAGTCTGAGCAACTTTTCTGTCCCTGCTATATCTGGTCACCTGGCTTGTTTCCAGGATTCCAAGCAGGCTTCTCTTTCTTCCAGGTGGCAGTGAGTGCTCTCCCAAGTGCTGATGACTAGAACTGACATGTTTGTGAATGTATACCATTCCCTTCTTTGAGCACAAGTGTGGCACCAGAAGAATAAAAACAAAGGATTCAAAGTTACTAGATAACTGTACCTTGACCAATCACCTTTCTGATTTACCCTGGATCCTCTCTGTTGCATTCATTTATTGTCTCTTAGCTTGGAGCCTAAAAATACTTTTACCCCTCTTTCTTTTTTTTTAGAGACGGAGTCTCATTTTATAGTCCTTGGTAAAGTGCTGTGGCATCACAGCTCATAACAACCTCTAACTCCTGGGCTTAAGCAATTCTCTTGCCTCAGCGTCCCGAGTAGCTGGGACTACAGGTGCCCGCCACAATGCCCAGCTATTTTTTGTTGCAGTTCAGCCGGCGCCCTACGCACTGAGCCATAGGTGGCTCCCCTCTCTGTTCCCTCTTATGTCTATATTGGCTGTTAAATTTTCCTTCATTATAGACTCATCTACTTTAATTTTTAAAGACTTTTATTTTGTAATTGACACATAATAATTGTATATATTTGTTGGGTATGTAGTACTTTTAATTTTTTTATGAATTTATATAATTTCTGACCTATTGAGGGTACGAAGTCTTATTTTCTAGTACTGTTTCAATTAAATTTTTTTTCTTACCATTTATGGGAATTTGAGCTGGGGGAGAAGGTTTAAGTATATTCTTTTTTTTGAGACAGAGCCTCAAGCTGTTGCTCTGGGTAGAGTGCTGTGGCATCCCAGCTCACAGCAACCTCCAGCTCTTGTGCTCAAGCAAGTTTCCTGCCTCTACCTCCCAAGCAGCTGGGACTACAGGTGCGCGCCACAACACCCAGCTGTGTTTCAGTTGCAGCTGACATTGTTGTTGGCGGGCTTGGGCTGGCTTCGAACCCGCCAGTTCAGGTGTATGTGGCTGGTGCCTTAGCCGGTTGAGCCACAGGCTCCAAGCTTAAGCATGTTCTTAATTTACAATTGAGATCTAGACTTCTCAGGATCTGTCATAAAGCAAGGTATGCAATTTAAAGGGAGCACATCAGTTCATCTGGCAAGTGATATTCCTACCATTGAATTCTAGTAGAAGTTTAAGCTGTGAGTATATAATATGTTAACATTTATTAAATACCTATTCTTTAACAACTTTAGTTTTGCCCTCTCAAAATTCAGAGATACACCAGTTTTAAGATGGGGAAATGGGGCTTAGAGAGGAAAATAATTTACCCAAAATCTAACACATAGTAAGAACCAGAGCCAGAATTCATCCTTATGTCTTGCCATGACAACAGCTGCCTTCCATTAAAAGACATAAGGTAACAATAAGGAACAATGTCTTCACTGTGGGATAACAACAAACTACATTTAGCGCTCAGCTAGAGTGGGTGCTGTTAGAAATCATGAAATCAGCATTTACCGATTATTGTGGATAATTTGTCAACAAATCACAGAGCTGAGTGCAGTTTTCAATTTCATTTTGTTGCCTTGTCAATAAGATTTATTCTTGGAGCAATTTGTGAACTGTTAGTGCTTTTTCAGTGGGCAGTGCACATAAATGGCATGTACATATTGGTAAACATCTCCACAGTGTTGGCAGGTTGGAGGTTCTATTTTGAATTGATTTTTCTCATAGCTTTCAGCTGAAGTTTATTTTCATATAAGCAGTAATTACAGAAAACGAGTGCCTCTCAGGGTAAATGTTGCTGTGCTGGTTAAAGAGCATTTTGTGTATTATGTGGCATGCTATAATTATTTGTTTGAATTGTTCCACAGAGATCTTTCCCAACAATTGCAATACATGGGGTTCTAGGTCAGTAAAGACAGATTACTGTAGATTGCTTAAGCTTTTCTAAAATCTCTGTTGTTTCGTTTAAGAAGCATATTTGGAAAATGTAACATAATACTTGGGAAATTGAAAGATGGATATATACGTGGAAATAATTTGTATTTTAGTTGAGAAGGTTTAAATACGCAAGTGCCAGAGGACTTAAAAAGAAAAATGTTATTGGAGTACACTGTGGGCTGTCAGAGAAGGTGGGTGGTGTGGCGTTGCACCCGTAGGTGTGGTGTTGAATCCTAGTACTGTCCCTCACAAGCTGAACAATCTCTGCTCTTCAGTTTCTTTGATGTCATGTGAAGTAAAATCTCACCCACCTCACAAGATTGTGAGATGATGGATGCAAATTGGTTAGCATTCATTTTTAACCAATCATTATTTGAGCCCAATTTTTCACCAAACCCAGACACCTTTCTCACATCCCTGTCTAGTTTCTTCCCTGTGCCCCACCCATCCCTCCCAGGCTGATTTTCTCAAAGCTAGAGAGCAGTCTAGGGGAAAACAGCTGACCCAGTGAGCTCAGAGGGACCTGGGGTCAGTTGTTGTTTCCTTTGGGGGCTCTGGTCCAGGTGATATGGGAATCATTCATACAGATAACCTTGTCCTGGAATTCTAAGTTCCAAAGTAGCAGATGTGTGTTATATTCATGACCATTCATCATCTTTTGGGTGGCCTTCCTATATTTAAGGAAACCCCTTCTATGATAAATTTTTCCTCCCCAGGGTAGAAGTGGACTCGAATTCCAAGACCTGTGCAGCTAAAGTGCACTTATGGGACTGGGACTCTGCCAAACAGATGCACCCATGTGAGTCTGCAATTCAGGCGTCAAGAGCATGTGATTTTGTGCTGGGAATGGAGCTTCCATTTTTGGCATCCCTGTTGGCCAAAGCCTCCATTGCTCAGTGGGGTGGAGATTTCCTCATCTGGCCATTTCTATGGTTTGAAATTGGGCTTTTGTTTTGGAAGCACAGCCTTGCGTCTCCTCACAGAAATTTAAGTGCAACTTTCTTTCCTTCCTTTCTTCCTTCCCTGAACTTTGAACTCCTGGGTTTGAGTGATCCTCCTACCTCAGCCTCCTCAGTAGGCTGAGGACTACAGGTACATGCCACCATGCCTGGCTAATTTTTCTATTTTTCATAGAGATGGGATGTGTGTGTGTGTTGGGTGTCTCTCTCTGTTGCCCAGGCTGGATTTGAATTTCGAGCTTAAATGATCTTCCTGCCTCAGCTTCCCAAAATGCTGAGATTGCAAGCATGAGCTACCAGGCCTGGCTTCATTATCTTCTTAATAAACTAATTTTCCAATTAACCAGCCAGTGTTAGAATCAGCTGCTTGCAACTAAGAACCACTTTTGATAGATAATCTGGTGTGGTTAGCTCTCTGTCATGACTCATTTTTAAAAAAAGACACTCTGTTTTCTTATGTAAATTAAGAGAGATTTTGATGTTGAATTCATTCAGCTATTCAATCAGCAAACAGTAGGGTGCTTTCAGTGTGTAAGATACTGCATTAGGTACTGAGCGTTCAATGAAGCCTATTCCTAGTCTCCAGGGACTTGAAATCTTACAGAGTAGACAAATATTAGCATATAAAACAAATGCACTATGACTGAGGACTGAACCAGATGTGGCCTCTGAATATGATTATATTTGACAAAATGCTGGGAGTGACTCCCAGCCATTTGGCAGAACTTGAGGACAAAACAGCTGGGGGTAATTTATATTAGAATGACTTAATATGTAAAAAGAACTTTAAGTAGGAAGAAAAATAAGAAAATGTCATATTCATTGACTCCCTTACTTCCTTTTTTTTTTTTTTTTTCTAACTTGCTTTGGGAATTGTATGGTGCTTGGGTAAAATCCATTTCAAGCTTGTGGACCATATGAGATTGGTGATGGGAGGGGGTTGGAAAGTTTTGATAGTCATTTAATGTTATTCTCCATGATGATGATTGGCCTGAAGGATAAAAGAGATACAGAAAACTTTGTTCAGTGCCTACTGTGTACCAGGCCTTGTGCTAGGGTCATGCCAACCAAAGTCCTTTTTCTTTCCCTCCCTCCCTGTGTATGTGTAGGTCTCTTTAAACTACAAGTGGAAGAGATGCAACTCAAATACGAGTAAAAAAGGGAATGTTTGGTTCTTATAACTGAAAAAGATCGGGGTAGTTTTATGCAAAAGTAGATCTAGGTTCTGAAACATTGTCATTGGGAATTTGTGTTTTTCTGCCTCTTGGCAGTGCCTCCTCTCTATTGGTTTCATTTTCTCATTTTGCATTTTTTACAGAGGCTGGTGTGGCATCCAGGGTCAATTCCTACCTTATTAGTCACACTAATAGCAGAGGAATTACTTTCTAAGAGTTGCAGCGAGAGTCCCAGGTTTGAGCCTGGTCATGTTAGGATTGTTTTGGCCACAGTAACATAAACAGTGGATAAAAGGGGCTATTTTTCTCACATGGCAAGAAACCCAGAGGTAGAGGCCAGAGTTCCAGAGTTAGTTAACTCAGGGATCAATGATGCCAGGGCACTTAGTCAGCTTCTTTATGGCTCTTTTGGCCTCTCCCTTATAGTTTTAGATGGTTACAGCAATGCCTACTGTCACATCTTCATATGACAATCCTCAAAGGCAGAAGGGAGTAGGTCTCTGCTTTGTGTATGCTCTGAAGAGTGCAAAACAACTCTCTAAAAGTCACTGAGCAGACTCTGCTCATGTCTTTTGGGTCAGAATCAGGTCACATGCTTATGCTATCCCAGTCCTGTTTCAGGGGAATGCAATGACAGGCATGCCTACTTTACTGAACTTCACTTCATTGCACTTTGTAGATACTACATATTTTACCAAATGAAAGTCTGTGTAACCCTCCATCGAGCAAGTCTATCTGTGTCATTTTTTCAACAGCGTATGTTTACTTTGTGTCTCTGTGTCACATTTTGGTAACTCTGGAAATATTTTAATATTAATTATTATTTTATATGTTATGGTAAATTATGAATGATCCTTGATGTTACTATTGTAATTGTTTTGGGGCACCATGAATGGTGCCTGTATAAGATGGCTAACTTCATCAGCAAATGTTGTGTGTGTTCTGACTGCTCCACCAACCGTCTTACTATCTCTCGTACTGTCCTTGGGCCTCCCTATTCCCTGAAGCATAAAAATATTGACATTAGACCAGTTAATAGTCTTACAATGGCCTCTGAGTGTTAAAATGAAGGTAGGAGTCACATGTCTCTCACTTTTTTTTTTTTTTTTTTTTTTTTGAGACAGAGCCTCAAGCTGTCCCCCTGGGTAGAGTGCCGTGGCATTACAGCTCACAGCAACCTCCAACTCCTGGGCTCAAGCGAGTCTCCTGCCTCCGCCTCCCAAGTAGCTGGGACCACAGGCGCCCGCCACAACGCCCGGCTATTTTTTGGTTGCAGCCGTCATTGTTGTTTGGCGGGTCCGGGCTGGGGACTCGAACCCGCCACCTTAGGTGTACATGGCTGGCGCCTTAGCCGGTTGAGCTATAGGCGCTGAGCCTCTCACTTTAAATCAAAAGCTAGGGCTTGGCACCCGTAGCACAGTGGTTAAGGCGCCAGCCACATACACAGAGGCTGGCAGGTTCAAATCCACCTGGGCTAGCTGAAATCAACAATGACAACTGCAACAAAAATAGCCAGTTGTTGTGGCAGGCACCTGTAGTCTCAGCTACTGGGAGGCTGAGGCAGGAGAATCACTTAAGCCCAAGAGTTGGAGGTTGCTGTGAGCTGAGACACCACAGTACTCTACCAAGGGTGACATAGTGAAACCCTGTCTCAAAAAAAAATTTTTTTTTTCAAAAGCTAGAAATGATTAAGCATAATGAGGAAGGCATGTCAAGCCAAGGCAGGCTAAGAGCTAGGCCTTTTAAGCCAGTTTAAGCCCAAGAGTTGGAGGTTGCTGTTAGCTGAGACACCACAGTACTCTACCAAGGGTGACATAGTGAAACCCTGTCTCAAAAAAAAAATTTTTTTTTCAAAAGCTAGAAATGATTAAGCACAATCATAATGAGGAAGGCATGTCAAGCCAAGGCAGGCTAAGAGCTAGGCCTTTTAAGCCAGTTA